CACATCCCTCCCTCTTGTATTTTTTTTCTCTCCACGCACTTCGCTACTTTTTCCCTCCCTCTTTTCCTTTTCTCTTCCCTTTTCTTTTTCTTTTCCCCCTCCTTTTCTTTTTTTTCCTTCTTCTCCCGTTTTCCCTTCCCTCCCCTTTCCTCCCTTCCTCTTTCCCTCTCTTCACCCCTTTCTTCCCTTTCCTTTCCCCCTCTTCCCCTCCCCTTTTGTCCTTCTTTCCCATTCCTTCTTCTCCCTCTTTTTCTTCTTCCCCTTTTCTCCCTCCCCTTTCGCCCCCTCTTCCTTTTCCGCCTCCCTCTTCCCATTACCTCTTCTTACTCCCTCCCTTTCCCCCTCCCTCTTTCCCCTCTCCCCAATTCCCCTTCCTTTTCCTCCCTTTCCCTTCCCTTTACTCCCTTCCTTCCTTCTTCCCTTTCCCCCTCTCACTTCCCATTCCCTTTTCCGCTCTCTTTCCCCTTTCCCCTTTTCTCCTCACCCCCCTCCCTGTCCTCACCCCTCTACCCCGGCTTATCTTTCGATTTGTCGACCTCGATGTCTTCTCAAGCGACCTCTGTTTGTATTGGCTGTTATCTAAAGAGTTATTCCTCCTTCTGGCTGCTTGTGACGTGGATTAATGGCACCGCTTTTCGAGTCATTTATCTGCCTTGGGTTTTTTTTTTTTTTTGTATTTCTTTCTCTCTGGGTCTTTATTTCTTTCTCTTTTTCGTTCTTTCTTTCTTTTTCTCTTTCTCTTTCTCTTTCTATCTTTCTCTTTCTTTCTCTTTCTCTTTCTCTTTCTCTTTCTCTTTCTCTTTCTCTCTCTCTCTTTCTCTCTCTTCTCTCTCTCTCTCATCTCTCTCTCTCTCTCTCTTCTCTCTCTCTCTCTCTCTGCTCTCTCTGTTGTTGTTGTTGATTTCATTTTCTGATTTTCTAGTCGTTTATTTCGCCTTTTTTTTTACTTTTTTGTTTTTTCGTTTCTCTCTCCGTTTTTTATGATTTGTTCATTTTGAGAGTGAGGGGGACGGAAGGAGGTAGAGAGCGAGAGAGAGAGAGAGAGAGAGAGAGAGACATAGGAAACGAGAGAGAGAGAGAGTGAGGGAGAGAGAGAGAAAGAAAGAGAGACAGATAATTGATAAGAGGGAGGGGGGTGAGTATGTAAGTGCCTGACTGTGTGTATGTATAGATAAAGAGAGAGAGAGAGACAGAGAGAGAAGTTCTGTTTGTTCACCTATCTATCTATTTACCTATTTATCTATCCATCCATTCTCTTATCTGAACGCCTGTCTGTCTTTGTGTGTTTCCTTCTCTCTCTTTTTATTTACTTTTATCTCTCTATCTATAAATCAATCAATCAAACTCTTTGTCTATTTATTTCTTTATCCGTCTGTTACGTTACCTATGCTACCTAACTATCTATCTATCTGTCTACATATTACTTTCTACCTCCACTTCATCTCTCTTTCTTTTATTTTATCTATATCTGTCCATCTCCTTTATCTATCTATATCTCCTTCTGTCCTTTCGTCAGATGAGCCATTAGATAAAGAACAAAGACACAGAATAAAGAAATAAAAAATAACAAACTCGTAAAAAACACAAACAAAAAAAATAATGTAAAAAGAACAGAACAAACGGAACAAACAAAGCAAGCAGAATGAACAAAAATAAACAAATATCACGAATATAACAAGCAAACAAAGAAACAAAGAAACGCCAAAAAAATAAACAAACAAAGATTTGACAAAAACATGGAACAAACAAACTAACCAGAATAAACAAAGAAATCAACAAATATCACGAACATAACAAACAAACAAAGAAGCGCCAAAAAATAAACTAACAAAGATTAAGCAAAAAAAAAAAAATCCTAACAAAAACAAATAATCAATCAAAATAAATCGACCCACCACATAATCGACCCGCCCCCCCCCCCGCCCCCCAAAAGCACAAACAAACAAACACAAAACAAGGCACGACGCACAAACCCTCCGAAGCCGAGAAGGTCCCGGTCGTGTCATGCCAGTTGTACTGTGAACAAGTGGCATCCGTTTAGATGAGTAGACAAGGCATCAGACGAAGCCAGACGTGGTGGGGGGGGGGGGGGAGTAGGAGAGGGGAGAGTGGGGGGGGGGGGTGGAGGGTAGGTGAGGACGGAGGGGGGTTGAGGTGAAACGGCGGTGTGTGGGTGGGGGTTACGTGAAGTGGGATTGGTGTGGGGACGGGGAGAGAGAGCCAGACGTTGGTGGAGGAAGGGGGGTGTAGGAGAGGGAGAGTGGGGGGGTGGGGGGAAGTGAGGGATGGAGGGGTGGAGGTTAGAAAGTGGTGGAACGAGGGGAAGAGGGGCGGATGGGGTGGGCGGTTAGGTGAGTGGGATGGCGTGGGGACGAGGGCGAGAGGGTGGGAATGGGGGTTGCGTGGGGGGGTTTAGGTGGGATGTAGGGGGGGGGTGGTTGGGGGGTAGGTGAGGATTGGAGGGGGTGGGACCAGGGAGAGGGGAGTTGAGTGGGGTGTGGACCGAGGGGAGAGGGGTGTGGTAGGTGAGGGTGTTGCGTTCAACGAGGGGAAAAGGATGGGGGGTTATTGAGGGTATAGGAGGGGGGGGTGAAGGGAGAGTGGGGATAAGGAGAGAAAAAGGGGGTTTAAATTGAGGGGAGAGGAGAAAGTAGGGGAAGGGGGGTTATATCGAGGAGAGAGGGGAGAGGGTTACTGGGTAGGTTACAATGAGGGGAAAGGAGGGTTGGGTGCGTGCATTGTTGAGAGGAGGATAGGGGGGGTTGTGGGTAGGGAAGGAAGGTTACAAAGCCAGGTTGCGAGTGTGAGATGAAAGCGGATATGTAATGAATAGGGGGTTAAGGAAGGTCGCGATGAAAAGGTGAATGGGAGGATTTGAAGAAGAGAGAGAAAGGGGGAGGAGAAGGAGGAGGGGAGCGAGGGAGGGAGGAGGAGGGAGAAGGGAGTGATAAATAGCATGAATAGAGGGTTTAACAAATGCGCAAAACAATGGAAAAGAAAGAGGAAGAAAGAAATCGAAAGAAGTAGAAAACGCGTAAGTGGGAGGAATAATAAAGAGAGGAAGCCACAACCTTTTTCAATCCTCTTACCCCAATGACCCTACCTCCTCCCCATTCAAAAAAAAAAAAAAAAAAAAAAACATGAATGGGTCCGTTTAACCGAGACAGATGGCTGGCGGTCGTGGGTGATGCAGGCAAGCCCCCGACGCTGTATATTGTCAGTAAGTGTAGCTAGCCAGTGGTACAGAGAACCGACGGTGTAGCGACAGACAGCGGGTGTAGCGAGAGACATGGAACAGTCACGACGTACCGACTAGTTCCAGATGTACCAACTAGTTCGTCTGTGGGACTGTGGCGTTCTGAAGCTGCTACGTATTGAGGGATGTTTTATGCAATGCAGGTTGGCAGTTGTGATGATATGTAACTTCTGTAAATTCTGTAGATTGTTAAAAAAAATAAATAAAAAATAGATAATTGTATTGTCTTTCTATAAACAAAGAACTGTAGTGATGATGTGTAACTTTTGTGATTAATTCTGTAGATAATCAGTATGTTAAAAAATAAAGATAAAAAATAGATAATTGTATTGTCTTTTTATAAACAAAGAACTGTAGTGATGATGTGTAACTTCTGTAAATTCTATAGATAATCAGTATGTTAAAAAATAAAGATAAAAAATAGATAATTGTATTGTCTTTCTATAAAAAAAAGACTGTAGTGATGATGGTAACTTGTGATTATTAATTCTGTAGATAAATATGTTAAATAATAAATAGATAAAAAAAATAGATAATTGTATTGCCTTCCGCTGATGAAAATATCATGCAATCTATAAAAAAAATGGTGTAAAGAATGATCTAATTATATGATATAGACGGACAAATATTTCGTCTACTAATGATGCAACCAGACATCGGTGCAAGAAATACCCGACATAGGTAGAAAACAACATACGCGGAACATGATGCACATGCACATCACCTCGCAGCGCATTCCCCTTGTAATCGGATAGAGCTGTAATACCGACGGCGATGCAGGGGGATAGAGCAGCGAAATGAGGATGTAGACTGTAACGTAAATGGGTGACGTAAACGGCCAGTGACGCAGATGGTGACAAAGAGGTGGCCGAGGGACGCCGTGAAAGGAAAGGTTGATGGATGGACGGCGAGAGGAGGAGGAGGAGGAGGAGGAGGAACCTTGGGGAAGCTGCTGTCGGGGGTGAATGCCGCGGAGGAGCGTGTTGAGGAGATGAGGATGTCGACGCGTTAAGTGGTGAGGGAGAGAGAGGTAAAAAAAAAAGAGAGAGGGGAAGAAGAAGAGGAAGAAGGACAGGAACGTGAAGGAAAACTGTTCGTGAGAATGCGAGAGAAAAAGGGTGAGAGAGAGATGAAGATGTACTGTGGCCATGGGGCGATTTAGCGTCGTAAATTGAATGTCTTCTTCTCGACCAAATGCAGCTCACTAAATGTCCAATTTGTGAGTGACTGCGGCTATTTGGAGGATGAGGTACGAGCCACCCTTACACCAACATACATTGCGTTCCGACAAGTGAGTAACAAAAGCACAGACACACTACACTTCATAGTTTAAACCATCTCATACTCGGGGTTCTCCAGCGCGAGCTTTTCCGAACGTAAACAAACGTCCCCATAGCAGAGGGGCGGACGCCAAACAGAGATCATAGACGAGCCATGCGGGTGTCTCGCAGCGTGCTATAACGAGCGCCAAGTAGAACGAGCAAGATCAGCCACATGTCTAAGTGTTAGCATGTCCTGCACACAAGGCTGTCGCGGCAAAGGCCTGTCGTTATTTGCTTCTGCTCTCCACGCGATGAGGCGCCTCTCTGTTGCACGGGTGACTCACTTCTCTCGGTCGGGCCGCCCGAGTGATTCACTTCCCGATTTCTGTTCATCTGCGGGGCATTTCCCTGGGGCTCCTTCGGCGGGTCGAGTGCCAGCGCCGGTGCGGAACGAGGAAAGAAGCACCCGGCGAGGAAAATAT